CTGTATGCATTATTGGAGTTGTTTTATTTCATCTTGTCGTTCCAGGTGATTGGCTGTTTCTTGATATCCCCGGTGTGGCTGCGCTTGATGTGCATGTTGACAAGGTGCCTACCTGTCTATTACCCACTACCTCGTCCATTCTGTTTAATATATATCTGTTTAATATATATCTTCATGCGATGTTGTCTTGTGCTTTTGATGCCGCTTGTGCTTACGGTGTTCGTGTGGAGCACCGTATTGATGGTGGGTTGCCGAACATCCGTCGTTTCGGTGCGAGAACTCTAGTCTGTGAGACAACTATCCGTATGTTGCTGTTTGCTGACGACTGTGCGTTGTTTTCACACAGCGCGGAGGAGTTGCAGCACATGACTAGTGCTCTGGCTTCGACAGCGGTAAAATTTGGGCTCACCATCAACACAAGCAAAACTGTCTGTCTCTTTCAGCCTTCACCGGAGGTGCAATCTTCAATATTGCCGCAAATCACCATTGGTGCTGAAGTATTGGAAACCACCTCCCGCTTTTGCTACCTTAGGAGTGTGATGTCGACTGATCAGCAGCTACACAGTGAGCTGCGTATCCGCGTGTCGAAGGCGGCAGCGGCATTCGGGAAGCTTGAGTACCGAGTGTGGAACAACCATCAGCTTAGCATTGGCACGAAGCTGATGGTGTACAAATCCATGGTACTGTCCGTTCTTCTATACGGCAGTGAAACGTGGACGATGTACCGTCAGGATGTGCGATATCTCGAGCGGTTCCATCAGCAGTGTATGCGACGAATTTTGCGCATCGGTTGGGGCGCCAGAGTTGCAGACACGGAAGTGTTGCGCCGAAGTAGGATGTATGCAGTGGACTGCATACTTTTACTGAGACATCTGAAGTGGCTCGGTCATGTGTGGCGTATGGATTCAACGCGAATACCGAAACAACTTTTATACGGTCAGCTGAGTATTGGGAAGCGGCACGTGGGGAAACCAAAGTTACGTTACCAGGACATGATCAAAGTGAGCCTCACACGTTCTAATCTTGATTGCAGATCATGGGAACCGAAAGCGGTTGATCGGTGCGTATGGCGCGATCTCATCACGAAAGCAGTTGCTGAAATGCGGGAGAAAGACCTCATGCATGCAGAGAAGCGGCAAGCACCGATGGATTGTAGTTCATCGACATCGAGTGCATGGTGCTGTAGCACATGTGGTCGCGAGTGCCTGAGTCAGGCAGGCCTAGTGAGCCATGAGAGAGGTCACTCGGAACCACTGCCGAAGCGCCGACGGGTTCTGCAGAGAACGTAGGCAGAACCGGCGCAGCGTTTGTAGGTACGCTGCATTCGATTTACTAACCGCGTGCTTGCATGCTAAGTCTATTTATTTCAGGTTGTGGGTTTTCAATTTTGCCCCAATGCTTTTCTTTCCCATATAAATGCCTAGTTATACTCTCTTCTATACACTTACACACGTCGCTTAAGCCACTTGTAGTTATTTCGATAACATTTTCGTGTTTGTAGCATTTCCGTAAAATAAACCTCCTGACCTCGTGAACTTACCTTCTATTCTTTTGTAAACGTATTCTTTTGTAAACGACTTATTTCATATGCTCACTAATTTAGGATTTATGTCACCGTTTGCTTGCGTGCTAAGCCTGTTTATTTCAGGTGGTGGGTTTTCAATTTTGTCCCAATGCTTTGCTTTCTCACATAAAGGTATGCCTGTACTCTCTTCTATAAACTTGCACACGTCACTAAAGGCAATTCTAGTCCTTTTAGAAAACATTTTTGTGTTCGTGGCATTTCCGTAAAGTATACTTTCTGACCTCTTGAACTTATCTCGCATTCTTCTAAAAACAATTTACTTCATATGCTCATTACTTTAAGATATACGTCACCCTTTCCTTATGCTTTCCTCGATTTATTTTCTTTGTTATCTTTCTCTCAAGTGATTGGCTGTTGCTTGATATCCCCGGTGAGGCTGCGCTTGATGTACATGTTGACAAGGTGCCTACCTGTCTATTACCCACTACCTCGTTCATGCTGGATCCAGGAGACAGTTGGTCGTTGCTGGAGGGGACGGGGTGCACGGTCCTTGTGGCCGTGCTAGGCTCGAAGAGTGGTTCCATGCACTCAGTGTGGAGCGGACTACGGTCCAGCCACCGCCTTGTGTGTGACTGATTCCCCAACTACAGCGTGCTTGTGTTTGCCTGTGAAGGAGTGTGGGCCGGCTCAGTTGATGAAACGTGGCTCCCATCCACATGCCTCCTGGTCTTATTCCTTCGGGTTTACACTGGATATGGAGTATGTGGTTGGAGCTGTGGGTGGTGCAGCGCAAGCCACCCATAGTCCCTCTGTAGGCGCAGGCGTCCTGTGGCTGGCCACAGTGACAGGCAAATCCGAAACCGGATGCCGCCAACCATCCATATATGTATATAGCCGGGAGAGCCTATGGTGCGCTGAGGCTGGTTGTGGCTAGATCCTGACAGATGATCTACCCACTGCTGCTATTGCTGCGCCATGGGCTCATGTCCTGGACGCTTCCTCGTGGCGACCGCTGAGTGGGAGTTGGGTTTCGCCCTTCTCCCTGCTAAGATCCAGGACACCAATCCGCATGAGTCAGTGAACTGACCATGTGCTAGACCCGCTGCCTTTCGGGTGTACATTTAATCGAAGGCTTTGGCTGAGGACCCGAGTCGTTCTCCTGTCAGGTGTGGGCGCCCTGCCAGTATCCTAGTCCATCCTCTTCGGAGGTTAGGAAGTGGTCGATGGCCCTCTTCCTGTAAAACCTAGTCATGGGAGACAACAGGTCTACGGGTTATAAGCTCACAGTTCGATTGGCGTAGAGCAGGAGCGCCACGCATTGTCTCTGACGGTGGGAGGGTGTTCAATGGTTTGCTACTGCCCGCCTCAAGCCAGGCAGCCCCCGGTCGAATTGGTGCAAACCCGCCAAAACCCATCTGCGTCTGGCCGTGGTCGCAAGTGCGTATCCTACTACGGTCGCAAAACATATATGAATCGTTCCAGTACCTCCAAGGCTGCGTGTGACGGCTGTCAAGCAGATTCCCATCTGTCTCTGCAATCACATTCCCGAGCTGGATCTGCTTCCCACTGCCTTGTGGGTAAGGCTACTGAGTCAATGGCTCTGGGCGGAGTCCCTCAAACAAACCTCCATATCACCCACTGCCTTGTGGGTAAGGCTATTGAGCCAAAGGATCCGGGTGGAGTCCCTCAAGCAAACCTCCGAAGCACAACGACCACCTCGCGTGCGATTGCCTGCGCGCAAAGCACTCAGCATCGGGTGCTGGAATGTGCGCACACTACTGGACCGGAACTCGGCTGAGCGCCACGAGCGACGCACTGCACTGGTCGCGATGGAGCTGGCGCGTTACCACATCGATGTTGCGGCGATCAGTGAAACTCGGCTCGCTGAGCAAGGTAACTTACATGAAGCAGTTGCTGGCTACACATTCTACTGGGTGGGCAACGCCGCCTCAGCACCACGTGAACATGGGGTCGGATTTGCAATATCCGATCGCCTCCATGGCCAGCTGGTGGGTGAACCAAC